GGTTTTCTCTAATCGTTTCCTTTTCCTCTCTTTGGGATAAATAACGAACGGTGGCGACTCTTCTGTCTTCCGCCGGCCCCTCTTCGCAGCTATGCGACAGCATCCATCATCATCGAACCTAAGTCTTTTCCAATGAGAGAAAACCTCGTCAATTCTTATTGGTTCACTAAGTTTCACCTTTTTAGCAATAACACAAGCACGTGGGAGACCATATATTTTCACAATAGTGCTACCACACTTTGCGCTATCGGAGCCTACATTATCATCTCGTTTAGCCTCGTGAAAAATATACTTCAACTCGGCCCGAGAAATATTACCGGCCAAATGAGAATAAATAATGTTGTCTTTAAATCGGTGTTCCAAAACTATGATGCTCTGACCAAATGTTGTTTGTATCTCATTATGTTGGTTTTGAATCACGTGGTTCACAGAGTCCTAGTCTCGACACAAATCCCCCTTGCTATTTTCCAACCAATTTTTCAAAGTAGCATGGGTCGACTCAACTCTGTTGGTAGTTGTATTTCCAAGGTGTTGCACATTATTAGTCCACACGCAAACTATCTTCTCCTTTACCTGATCAAAAATGGTGCTTTCAACATATTTCAATAAAGCAGGATACTTTTCACACGCTTTTCGGAAATAAATGACGGAATTGGCATATAATTATTTTGTGGAAGAATTTATCATACAGTTCCATACATCCATTATTTTTTTCCACAATCACACCCGACTTCACCAATTTTCCACCTTCGCACTCAACTTGTTTCATCCCTACCGCGGGTTTAGCCCGACTTTTCACATTCTTTGTTATGTGATACTTACAAACTAATGCATAAGAAGAAGAAAATACATTTGCAACTGTAACACCCCAAATTTAATTGAAATATTTTAATAAATTATTTAATTGAGAATATTCATGTTTCGGTGATTTTTCGGTGGTTTTGTGAAGTATTGGAAAAATGTGCATTTTCGGGTATTTATTTGATTAATAGCATATAATATTAATTTATTAGTATTATTATTAATTAAAATGACTATAAGTGAAATAAGGGTAATTTGGGCATTTGAAGGAGTTAGTGAGGGTAATGAAGGAAAAGCCCAAATTGTGAGGCCCAAGACTAGGTTTGACAAAATAGAGTTCTGAAGGGAAATTAGAATTCATTTGTGTTAACCGTGAAAGTTTGGTGGCCAGAGCTCTGAAGGAAAGGTTGGAAGCAGAAGATTCCCAGAGTTAATCGTGAAAGCTTTGAATAGGCTAAGGCATAGGGAGTATAGCTTTTCATGATTTTTCATGTATGTCTTTCGATGTGTTTATGGTTGATTTAAGATTTAAGGTATTTTGGGTTGATTGTGGGAAAATTAGGAAAATTGATGATAAGACTATGAGGTTATGGCTAGTGGTATGTATCACTGAATATTTGATATGAGAATTAGGAAACCTTAGGCCTTGTGGCCAAAACCTTAGATTATTATATGTCTGACCATAAGGGATAGAAATATTTGATATGAGAAATTATGATGCCTTCGGAGCAATTGTAGGGAAATTGTGATTTAGGACATGAATAGGTTCCGGGATTGGCCTAATAGACCGTAGGTTTTGTGCTTTTATCGTCGTATGACCTTAGGGATGATTTAGGGATGTTTTGGGGGCATTGGGTAATTGAATCGTATGAGTATTTGGGTGAAAATCAGTTCTGGTGCGTAGCAAATTTTTGTTGTCATCGCACTGTTTTCCTAGCGAAGAAAGCTTCGCCTAGCGAACCATGTATTTCCAGACTCGCCTAGCGAAGAAAGCTTCGCCTAGCGAAGAAACTCGCCCCAGACTCGCCTAGCGAATATGCTAGCGTACGTAGCAGAGTTTCGCGAATATTGATCGCGTGCAGCGATGCTGTGATGTTTGATTATGGGATTTCTGTGATGAGTTACTATGAGTATGACAGTGGGTTTTGGGTGATATGTACATGATGACATGATGATTTCTATGATGTATTGATTGAATTTACATGATGAAATTACCATGATTTGATGAATTATGTGATAACATGAGACATGATGATTTATGTGATGATGATGAATATCATGAATGATGATGCACCATATGTTGTATTATGAGGATTATTATTGTGACGTGTGCATCATGCATTCATGTGCATCCGGACTTCGGTTCAGGAACTCGATTACTTTGGCTTCAATCCCATTGTGTGGATGTAAAGTGTTTTGATGTGCTCCGGTTCTCTAGTAGAATCGATCCTATTGATGGAGATCTATGGAGAGTTGATGGCCCAGTGTCCATCAAGCTGTGAAGATTAGTACCACATGCATTGAGTTGTGTCACATTGCATTTCTGAGTCTTTTTGTATGAATTATGACGTTGTGGCCTTCGAGGCATATTTGAGGAATATGAATGTGTTGAATATAATTATGATGTCGTTTATGTATTGATTGTTATGCATTGATTATTATGAATTGTTTTACTCACCCTTCCTGTTTGAATGTTACCTCCACGTGGGTAACGTGCAGATGACCCAGTTTAGCCGTGGATGTCGTCGAGGAGTATTTTGAAGTTTTAGAGTCGTTAGCCTTTATGGTTAACTTAGAGGGTCTTGCTCTGATATGTAACATCGGGTTGGGTTCTTTGAGTTAAACTTTATACCGTTGAGTTATTTTGCTAACTTTCCCTTATGAGGAAAATCTTGATTTATGATTTGAGTTCCGCTGTTTTATGTTGTTTGATGTATTTTGGGGAAAACCCGTAGTTACGGAGTATTGACCTATTTTGATGACATTGAGAAATGTACGCCCTTTTGGTGGCTTTTTATTGAGATTTATTTATTTACTCTGAAATTCGTGTTATTTTTCCTTAATAATCGTGGGGTAGAAAAGGGTGTTACAGCAACCGCATTCATCAATGTGGTATTGCGGTTAGTAACAATAGCTTTAGGCATCTCACCTTGATCCTTCAAAAGTGACTGACGCACCTCTAATGCCCAAGTAAAAATTTTCTCTTTTTCACACTCTAGAAATGATAAACCAAAAGAGTATGTCTTCTCAATTGAGGTGACACCAACCATATCAAATAATAGAAGTCTATACTTGTTGGAATTGTAGGTAGAGTCAAGTATGAGCACTGTCAGAAACATGTTGAATAACTTTATTGAATCAGGATGAGTCCAAAAAATATCGCTAATTGTAACTTCATCATCGCAAGTTCGGTACCGGGACACGTAACTATTATCGTCTAACAGTTTCAACAGGTGTTTGCATCTCAGTTCTACCCCCCTAATCTCCTTGTTAGTGAGGTACCAAATGTTATACACTTGCTTGATATTTGATATATTGTCGGGTTGCTTCCGTTTCAATGTTGTAAGTATATTTTTCGGTTAAACAAGATTCAAGGTCATGTCACTAATACATTCCTTCTCTTTCGGCTTGAGTCGGCATGCGCTAGGATGATCGGCTAATTTTAAGCACAAATCATGGTTATGCAAACCACAAGTGTCATTAAATCTCTATTTTTGTTATCTAAAATGTAACCATGAAACTTAAACGGACACTCACATTTTCTACTACTCGTGTCGTCTCTTTTCAAACTCCTGATAAGAGTTCGATATCTCTCACTTCTTCCGCACAACATTGTCACAAACGTGCATCTTCTATCCAAGCCATTATCCGACCTTTCCGATAACCACACCAAATTCAAGTCTAGATGCCACCATACGAATCCATTCGAGCATGTTATCACGATTTTCAAACTCTTGCTTATTGTTAAAGTTGTTGTCAACATCTACCGCCTTTACAACAACTCCTTGAACATTCAGAGAAACCACTTGCTTTGAGAAATTATCGGGGTGCACCATATCTATTGGAATCAATACAAACAATAACAATAATTAATATACTGGTGTAGAAAAGGCTAGAAAATGAACACAGAATTATTCCAGAAATTTATCTCTGAAAATGTTCAACCTCAAAGACTTTTCGGAGATGTATCTCTGAACACTGTGTAACATTTTCAGTCAAATTTTCATGATTAATTTGAGCAATGTAGATGAAAATGAACAATCTTTACCTGAAATTCTATCTTCTGTTCCTCCTTGTGATATATTGAACCAAAAGGATGAAGATTTAGAGCGAAAAAATGGATTGAGAATGAAGAAATTTTAGGGTGAGGGTTTGAGTTGAAAATGAAGTATGACAATAATGGAGGACTGATCATGCAACTGATAGCTATATCAGATATTTCCAGAGATACATCTTCGAAAAAGCTTGACATGCAAAGGTATTCCGCCCACAAATCCCGTAGATATATCTCCGGAATATTCATTGAACTGAACAATTTAAGTATTTACTCCAAACCGTTCCAGAGATATATCTCTGAAATAAAATTTTAACAAATGCATGAGGTGACCCTCAAAACGACCTTTATTGAGTGAACAATGAATACGTCTGAAGATATATCTTCGAAAACTGAAAGAATAATAGAAAATTCACACGATGTTTAAATAATACAGTCTGGAAAAAGAAATCTCATAATGAAAGATTTTCTTGTAATATGGAAAGAAAAACTCTCCGAAGCCCTACTGTCTTGCCCTCTATATTTCATCTCTTTTTTTCTTTTCTGAAATCCTCTTACTAATTTTACAAACAAAACTTATAGTTTCAGTTGTTACTTAGTATTAGAGCATGATGCAGCTAAAGTTTACAAATATAAATAACAAACACATGCTACATGTAACAACAACCAACAAGAATACAACGCAGAACTTTCTGATTTTGAATTGGCCAAAATTGGACCAGTACTCTCATTTTAGCAAGTAGTATCAAATAGTAAGTTGGACGAGAATTACAAAACTGAGTACATGGATCATATAAAACAGTTCAAAAATTGGACGAAACATATAAAATGATAACTGAAAGTAAACTAACATCAGACTACATTTAGGTTATATGGTTCATTACTTTTGCAAATTCCAAACACATTAAAATACATAATAACTAATCTAGTCAATCTGAAAAAGAGGTGTCACAACACTCTTCAACTTATTCAAACAGTCCCAGAATACTTCTGTCTCCTTCTGTTGGCTTGCTTCAAGAATACTTTTAACCTTTAAAATTTCCAAATTGATCATGAATGCATCTTGTCTGCTAAGTTTAGAACTTTTATCAATATCCTTCAACGCCTTGTTTATCTTGTAAACATAATCATCCAAAGCATTCACTGCAATAGCTTTCTTCCGGTATTTCTCATCTTCAGCCTTGTATTTCTCAGCTTCTTGAATCAATTTCATAATTTGCTCAGTTGATAATCTCCCTGTGCCATTGGTTATGATAATCTCATTCTTATTTCCAGAACTTTCTTCCTCCGCAGATACAGTTAAAATTCCATCAGCATCTAGGTCAAAATATACATTCAAAGGATGGCCTCGAGGATAAGAAGGGTTGCAATTAAGATAAAACGAACCCAACAAGTTGTTATCACTAGCTCTTGTCCTCTCACCCTCGAAGACACAGATTGGGGTAGAGGATTGGTTTTCTGCACTCTTTATGCAGGCTTTATTCTTCTTTGTAGGAATTGTTGTGTTTCTAGGAATAACTACACCCATGAGACCTCCATATAATAATATTCCAAGAGAAAGTGGTGTAACATCTAATATCACCAAGTTTGGAGATGAACTATCACCTTTACACAACAAAGAAGCCTGAACTGCAGCTCCATAAGCAACCGCCTCATCAGGGTTGATGCTCTTACACAGATCCTTCCCCTTGAAAAATTCTTGTAAGAGTTGCTGCACCTTTGGAATCCGAGATGAGCCACCAACAAGGACTACATCATGTATATTACTCTTATCTATCTTCGAATCTTTAAGACACATATTCACCGTCTCCATACACTTAGTAAACAGATCCATATTGAGTTCCTCAAACCTCGCACGAGTTATAGATGAATAAAAATCAATGTTATCAAATAAGGCATCTATCTCAATGGTGGTATCAACAGCAAAAGTGAGTGTTCGTTTTGCTCTTTCACAAGAGGTTTTTAATCTTCTAAGTGACTTAGCATTCCTAGTAATGTCCATTTTGTTCTTCCTCTTTAACTCCTCTACAAAATAGTTTACCATTCTATTATCAAAGTCCTCTCCTCCAAGGTGAGTATCTCCAGCAGTGGCTTTAACTTCAAAGACGTCACCTTTTATTGTGAGTATAGACACATCAAATGTACCACCACCAAGATCAAATATGAATATATTTCTCGCTTCAACACAATTACCTCTCTTCTGAAGCCCATATGCGAAAGCAGCGGCAGTTGGTTCATTTATGATCCGAATTACATTAAGGCCAGCAATAGCACCAGCATCCTTTGTGGCTTTTCTCTGAGAATCGTTGAAATAAGCAGGCACGGTAATGACTGCATTCTGGACAGGTGATTCCAAAAAGTCTTCTGCAATCTCTCGCATCTTAGTTAGGACCATCGAAGAGATTTCCTCAGGAAATAGGTGTTTTTCTTCACCCTTGTACTTCACAACAATCATGGGTTTGTCATCAGCACCAGCAATGACCTTAAAGGGCCACATCTTTAAATCATTCTGAATTATTGGATCACTATAATTCCTTCCGATCAACCTCTTTGCATCTGCGAGTACATAAAACTAGTGATAATCCAAAAACTTATAGAAACGACACATTCCAACAGCAACATGACACCTACTTTAAATCGCTTATATTTTATTGAATTATTACTTACGTTAAGTGCCAATGCCACAGTATATGTGCTATAGGAATAATAATAACTAAATTACATTCATAAATCATGAAAGAATAAAAGAAGATAAATTACCAAAGACAGTATTGGATGGGTTAGAGGAAGCTTGATTTTTGGCAGCATCGCCAAACAACCTTTGAGAGTTAGTGAAAGCAACACAAGAAGGTGTGATTCTGTTGCCTTGTTCATTGTGTATGATCTCAGCCCGATTGTTTTGACCCTGCCAAACTGCTACACATGAGTAGGTTGTGCCAAGGTCGATTCCAATAGCAGGTCCCTCGTATTTTTTAGCCATTCTCTTTCCCGGTAGTGATGGAGACCAGTGGCGGATCTTGTCTAAAATATTAGGGGAAGCGGCAAATATTATAATTAAAATTCAAAATTATTATTATCCTCATTAAAATCATTAGCTTAAACAATAACTGGTATTTTCTACTAAAGCAATGACTCGCGTAATTTTTAATGCAATGAAAATATTAAAAACACTAAACAGATGCCTTTGAAAGCAAAGCTCAGGAAGCAAGGAAAGCAGAGCCATTCTTTCATAATGTCATTTTGTTCTAAATATTTCTAAATAGATTCCTTTGAAATTGAAAGGAAAACTGGATTTCAAAATGTAATTAGCCCCATACTATGTTTTAACTCTAAATCTCTAATGGATTCACAAATCAAATTAACTCACAACATTATGCATTTCAATTTGTGCAATGGGTTATAACTTGCAGGAAACATAGCAGTGCAAAGCAATTGTCATTCAATTAGAAAGTAAGAAATAGAATCACACATTCACCCACCTTTTGAGTGAAACTTATGTGACGGTGAGGGAAGGAAACAACGTCGGCACCGCCGAAATCCTGAACAAACACGTCCTTAGAAGTTGTGCATGTACAAGAGACGAATTGTTGTGGCTTGGTGAGTGAAAGAGGAAGAAAGGGTTTGAGAGGAAGAAAGGGTTTGAGAGAGTGAAAGGGTTTGAGAGGGAAAGACTGGGAGTTGGCTTGGAGGGAGTTGTATTTTTTTTTTTCTTATGCCAAAACGACGTGGTATGCCAACATGACTTCGTTTTGGTTAATGGAAAAAAATATCAAAAGGTTCAACTTTTTCAAATTGAATTATTCTAATTTTTTAAGAAGTTGGTTCAACTAAAATATCAAAACGACAATTTTTAACTCGAATAATTAACTTTTAAAAAAAATTACAAAATAATTCACTTTTTAAATTTTTTATATTTAAAGTTAGGGTATTTGAATGAATATACGTTGGAGACATACCAACTGACGACCTTTTGTTAAGATTTTAGGGGAGTCGCCAATTGGATTGGAGACACTACAGTCTCCAATTCAATTGGCGCCTTAGTGTTATACTTAAAGGGGAGTCGGCAATTTATCTGGAGACTCCTTAGAAACTGAAACTTTTTTCTATAAATAGAGGTGTACTCATCATTTAGTTTCACATCTCATCTCATATATTTGTTCCATTCATAATATGTATCGTCGCCAGTGGGGAAATTTCGTCTATTCGAGAGAGAAACCTCTGATGGACATATTGTTTTGGAACATGCAAGGTTTCAATCAACTTAAGAGAGAGCTGAATCGGTGGTTAGAAAGAGACATTGGTGAAGAGGAAAAAATTTGAAGTATCGAGAGACTTGATCGGTTGTGTGGATGAGATTGTGTTAAGACTGACAAGGATGCGAGGGAAGTCATGTTTGGATCGAATGAAATTAGTTTGATTTTTGTAATCAGTTAGGAATGTTTTATGTTTCTTTTCCGTTAGTTGTTTTATGTGTTGTATGTGTTGCGTGTTATTAGTTTGCGGTATGTGTTGTTTGTTGTTAACATTGTTGTAACAAAGACTCATCAATATATGAAAATATTTGGTTACAACAACTGAAACAATAAGGTAAAGCATGATGTAGATGTTCCTCCGACATTGGAATAATTTTTCGATTGTGTCCGGGCTGACGACATATACTGCATAATCTTATCATTTTATCAGTTGTATCCATTTCGGTTTCTTATACGCTTGTTGTTTGGGCGTCTCATTTTCTTTCTTCTCATCTCATCGTTGTGACAAACTATGTCACATTGGTATAAAGGTTAATATTCCTCCATTGGTAGCACTGCAAATCCTTCGTTGTAGACATTCATAACATTAATCACCTTGTAAACATAAGATAGATAGCCATAAGCATCCTAACGAGCATGTGCGCATGCTGCAATGACATGTGAGCAAGGTACACGGAAGACCCGATACTTGCCACAGTCACACCAACATTTGTTTAGTCTAACAGCGTAGGATAAATTGGATCTCCCCTCATTATGGTCCATTGTTTCTTGTACACTGAATGTTTGCCTATGACGGTCAAAGATTGTAACTGTATGTGTGTTGGCTTTGATAGTATCATTTTCATCAATTTTATTATGCTTTCACTAAATACTTGACTCGGCGTTAACATTGCACTCCATCTTTCGCCTCTTGTTGCAAAAAGTGATGTCAACCTATAATGGTTGATCTCATCAAAGAGGTGATTGGAAGGTTTCTAATTCCTTTGAATACCCCGTTCATGGACTCCACAAGGTTTTTCGTCATGTGGCCCCAACGACATCCACCATCAAAAGCCCTTGTCCACTTTTTCAGTGGAATGTCATCCAACCAGCTTCCTGCATCTGCATTTGACATCCTAATTTCATTAAGGTAGTATTGAAATGTTGGTTAAGTTAGAGCATACTCGGTATTCACAACTTTTTTGCGTAGGTTCTTGTCTTTGATTGCACCCATGAAGTTTTGTGCAATATATCTAATGCAATATACATGGGTAGAAGGAGGATTATGCCACCCGTTATCATGGTTATTGTAAGCACTCTCTACAGTAGCATTTCTATCTGAAATCAAACAGAGATTGGCTTGTGGAGCGACATGTGTTTTGAGATTTTTAAGGAACAAACTCCAAGCAGAAGCAGTCTCACTCTCAACCAGAGCAAAGGCTATGGGAAAAATGTTATCATTGTCGTCTTGTGCAACAGCCATAAGTAAGGTGCCCTTGTATTTTCTGTAGATCCATGTTCCATCAATTTGAATAACAGGTTTGTATAATGCAAAACCTCTTATGCATGGTTGAAACGACCAAAAGAGACGATGAAAAGTGACATTTCCATCAATAATAGTTCCATCTGGTCTACATGTTGGCACTGTTTGCATGTTTGCAACAATTCCTAGTGTGTATGTCTTTAGCGCTACCAAAAATTGCAGTAATTCCTTGTACGAATCCTCCCAGTTGCCAAATACATGTTCAATAGCCTTTGTCCTTGTGTTGCACCCTAATTTTTGACCTTAAGATCCCACCTCCTTGCTGTTAAAACCACTATAGTTCAAGTAATACCCCAAAATTTTACCCTTACATTTAGTCAATCATTTCGCATAGCGTCCCATTTTTTTTCACTAACAAGTAAGGGGTTGAGTTTGTTTTGCAGGAATCATCTCAGGGGCATGTTGGTCATTTTGCGTTGGTTACGACGAATTCTGAAAAAGGTTGGTTCTTAAGTCTTGAGGCATGTGAACCATCATCTACCATATGGTTTCGATCCGTTTTGATCATTATCAGGAAAAGCTGTCAGAGGCATGACTGAATTCGGACCGTTCACCACTTATGGTTTGTCTCCTGAGCAATCACGTTTCTGGTAATAAGGACACTTATCTTAAAGTAACTGGGTATTATTGGACTTTCGCGTATAAGTAGTGTTAAAGATTATTTGGGCAGTAGAAGTTAATTACAGGCAGGTCGCCATTGGATACTGAATTCTTTGTGGTTCTGGCGCATATCCACGTTTGGCAAGAAAACGAGGGGATAATGCGAGGAAAATATTGTGGGTTGAACGTTTAAATCCATGCTTACTCATTTGTTTGCATCAAAGTGAAGAGGATTTAGAAGATCATGTGAAGTCTAAAAGCAGTTCCTCACATGATAATTGTGCAAAACACTCTACGTATAATTGTACAAAACATTCTATGTTTGAAAGAACAAAACATTCTATGTTTGAAAGAGAAAATAAAGCCCCTGTTGATATTCAGAGTTCAAGGAGATATCTATGTGGACTTCAAAAAAAAGAAAGGGAGAGTCATTCATACTATTAGAACTTCATTGAATCAAAACATCAAGAAAAGATTTAATATATTCATGAAGGTTTGTACAAAACGTAGGAATTATTACATAAAGAAAACCTAAAGTTCTAGTAACCACTGCCTTGTCTCTCTAAGCTCATTATCTACTTCTAAAACTTCACTAGTCTAGCAAGATACAAAACAATTCGCTGCTGCCAGAACATTTGGTGAGAAATCGAAGCACTTTAAGGAATGTACATGTTTTCATTGTCTTCTCTCACGGACCACCGTACGATGCTTCATGGTGTTGAACCGCTACTTTGCTCATGACTCCCACAACAGGTCCTGTAGCAAAGGAGCAAGATAGCAGTTAGAAAAAAGCCAAAGAAATAATGTCAATCAAACCTGCGAAATCAAGAGGAAAAGAGAATGTCAGAGTAGCTAGCAATTACAGAGGAACACAAAGATGAGAAAGCATTCATGCTGTGACTTAGCACATTAGCAGAAGACAAAAGGAAATGGATTTAAAATACAGCCCTCAGGTTGTTCATCATCGGGCGTAACATTCGAGCGGCTGGAAGGGCAACGGTCAAAACCTGTCACCAACTCCCTACCAAACACCGAGGATAGCAGAATTGCGGGCATACAATAATTTGGGACAAATTCCCAACATTCTTCGAAGCCGCCAGCCACATTCAAAGGGGGCGACCACGTTCAAATTATCAGCTCAGACCCGAAGGTCATTATCACTAAAGCATCAATCAAAGCCAAATGGTTCAGACCCTAAGGTCATCATCACCGCGTCAAACCTCCCTCGGTGGCGTCAATCCAGCAATATCCGACTCTTAAAGTTCCCTCTGAAAGAAGAAGAAGAAAAGTGAATGTATGTTCGAAACAGAAAACCAGATATCAAAGCAAAATTGCATCAGATAGAACCGAGTCCAAATCAGGATGAAATCCGAATCAGGGGGCTGGATATCAAAATGAAAATGGTTCGAACATCTGCAAAATTAATGAAGCATCATCAGATATCAATCAAAATAAAACCAGTTCGTATCAGTGTCCAACTTGAACGAAAACCAAAGGTCAAAACAAACTGCATCAGATAAAACCAGATATCCAAACCTATGACAGAGTTACCCATATCAGAAGCATCTGCAAAATCCAATCAAATCCAGTTATCCAACTGAAATC